CAGGCTCAGGCAATTCACTCACCTCAGCCTCCCAAGGCACGGGATTACAGGCTGAGCCACCGAGCCCAGCTAAACCTCTGTTCTTTAACTGTTATGTAAAGCAGACTAATGGTTATAATTTTTAAGGTAAAATTTTTTAAAAAGATAAAATATAGGATGTCAGTTAAATGTATATTTCAAATAAAAAATACTCTTTTTCTGATTAAAATAAATTTTTTGTAATTAAAGAATAACATACATGCAGAAATGTACACAAGTCATGTATAAACTCAGTGGATTTTCACAGCCCATTCACCTGTGTACGCAGCACTCCAGAAACCCTCCTTGTCCCTCTCCCAGTCACCACTCCTCAGGGCAGAGGGGACCACTCTCCTGACTTCTGAAGGTACAGATTAGTGTTGCCTGTTTTTGAACTCTGTCAGTAGAATCACATATTGATGCACTCTTGCTTATCTGGTGGCCTTTACTCAACCTAATGGGTTTTTTTGCTCCCCTTCCCCTACAACGTTTTTTTAGTTGTTTCTTTTACTTCCTTTTTTATTTTTAAAGATGTGAGGTATAACTGGCATACGGTAAAATGGACTCCTTTTACATGTACAGTTTCAATTGTCTACTGTTATGTAATCACTGTCAAGGTCTAGAACTATTTCGTCACCCCAAAAAGCTTCCTTGTGCCCTTTTGCAGTTGATCTCTTTCCCTGATCCCAGGCAACTAATTTTCTTTCACTATAGTTTTGCCTTTTCTAGAATTTCACAAAATGGAATTGTTATCATATATGGTGTACTATGTTTGACTTTCTTCACTTGGCATAGTTGAACATGTTTTGGGCTTTATCTGTGTTGTGTGGAGTGTGTTCATTTCATTGCTGTGATATTCCATTGTTGTAGGCATGTACTGTTGGTGGACATCTATCCAGACTTCCATACTATTATGAGTAGTGCTCCTCTGACTAGTCTCAGGCTTGACTTTGGTGAACATACTGTGTACATCTCTGCTAGGCATGTATACAGAGGTGGAACTACTGGGTTCAGCTTTAGTAGATACTGCCAACAGTTTAAAAAATAGTTGTACCAATGTATACATCATGCCAGCAGTGTGTGTGAAAGTTCTGGGTTTTCTATATCCTCACCAACACCTGAGGTTGTCTTTTCTTTTCTTTTCTTTTTTTTTTGAGTCATGGTCTCATTCCATCTCCTAGACTGGAGGGCATTCACGGCTTACTGCAGCCTCAACCTCCTCGACTCAGGTGATCCTTCCACCTCAGCCTCACGAGTAGCTGGGACTACAGGCACATACCATCACAGCTGGTTAATTAATTAATTAATTAATTTTGTAGAGACAAGTTCTCACTATGTTGCCCAAGCTGGTCTTAAACTTCTGAGCTCAACCAGTCCTCCCACCTTGGCCTCTCAAAGTGCTGGGATTATAGGTGTGAGCTACTGTGCCCCGCCTTTTTTAAAGAATCTTGCTCTGTGACCCTGGTTAGAACAGTGGTGCAATCATAGTTCACTGCAACCTCAAACTCCTGGGTTCAAGTGATCCCAAGAGCTGGAGCAGCTGGGACTACAGCCCTGAGCCACTGAATCCAGCTGATGCTGTCTTTTTAATTTTAGCCATTCTTTGAGTTACTAGTTGTAATTTAAGAATGATAATTTATAAAACAGTAATAAGCCAAATACGGTGGCTCATGCCTATAACCCTAGCACTTTGGGAGGCAGAGGTGAGAGGATTACCTGAGCTCAGGGATTCGAGACCAGCCTGGGTAACATGGTGAGACCTCATCTCTACAATAAATAAATAATAATAATTTAAAAATTAGCCAAGCATTATGTGGTTCCAGCTACTTGGAAAGGTGAGACAGAAGGATCGCCTGAGCCCAGCAGGTCAAGGCTGCTGTGGCTGTGAGCATGCCACTGCACTCTAGCCTGGGTGACAGAGTTGAGACTCTGACTCAGGGGGAAAAAAATGGTAATAAATTGCCAGCTGTTTTGAGGAACTTCTTGCCAGCAAGCTGTGTTAGTTCATTTTGCTGACGTTTTTGTGTGGTTTTATTTTTTTGGTTTTTCTTTTTTTTTTTGAGTTGGAGTCTCACTTTGTCCCCCAGACTAGAGTACAGTGGCCGCTCCTGGCCACCACAGCCTCAAACTGCTGGGCTCCAGCGATCCTTCCACCTCAGCCTTCCAATGAACTGGAACTACAGGCGTGCGCTACCATGCCTGTCTAATTTTTTTATTTATTGTAGAGATGAGGTCTCGCCAAGTTGCCCAGGTGGGTCTCGAACCCGCTGACTCAGGCGATCCACTCACCTTGGCCTCCCAAAGCACGGGATTACAGGCTGAGCCACCAAGCCCGGCCTGGTTTTTCTTTAATGATACCATATATAATTCTCTATTATACTGCCATGGATAGATCATTGATGAAAGTCCAGATTCTGAATACAATTTAGAAGATTGAATTTGCATGATGTAATATGATAGTTTTGCTTGTGTTGTGCCATTTGGGGGTTGACAGGAACAGGCGTAGTTAAAGGTGAATTGGGCTGAATGCTTGCTTTCCATTTGTTTTAGCCCTGAGGACATGAAGAAACCAGTTTCTATAGTTTCTGGAAATAACTCTTTTATTTGGAGGCAGTGATTGATGTAACCAGCCTCTTTTTGTACTTTTCAGTGAGGTGGTGGCAGAGGAGTCCATCGGATGCTTCCAGAAAGCCCTAAGCCACCTGCGGGAAATATGGGAACTGATTGGGATCCCAGAAGACCAGCGGTTACAGAGGACTGAGACTGTGAAGAAGCACATCAAGGTGAGCTGAGCAGGGCCGGCCTCTGCATGGGCCAGGGTTGAGGGTATGGGTGTCGCCTATGGCACACGGAAGTGACTGCTGACCACTGTCACTGGGATAGGACAGGCACTTCCTGGTTCATTTCTTTGGGTTTGTTTTTTTTTTTGAGTCCTTTCTTAATATTTTGCAATCTCAAGGGTTTTGGTGTTGATGTTGTGTTTTTCCCACCCAATGGCCCCAAACTTTTACTATGTTCTTTCTCATGCAGGAACTCCTGGATATGATGATTGCTGAAGAGGAAAGCCTAAAGGAGAGGCTCCTCAAAAGCATTTCCGTCTGTCAAAAAGAACTGAGCACCCTGTGTAGCGAGTTACACGTGGAGCCATTTCAGGTCTTCGGCAGCCGTAGGGTCTGGGGGAATCGGGCTGGGGTCTGAGACGTGGGGGTAGTGTGGTCTCGGTGACTTGGAATTGCGGGCGGAAGGCTTCTGTGTAGGGGTGGGACTGCGTGTGAGAAGTGGGGAACCCTTGCTGCCTAGTTAATGAAGCCTAGCAAAGTAATCTTCGTATGTAGAGTTGCCCTGTTTGGAGGTGACCAAAAACAAGTTGCCATCTGCTGTGTGATTTTGCTCTGTAGGGCATACTAATTTTTTTTTAAACTCTGAGAAAAAGGCACAGCTGGTGCTGCACTGTTCTCTCTGGGATTTTTTGTTTGTTTGTTTTTTGTTTTTGATTTTTGAGTCGGAGTCTCACTCTGGAGTACAGTGGCTCACATGTGGCCACCACAGCCTCAACCTACTGGGCTCAGGTGATCCTCCTGCCTCAGCCTCCCAAGTAGCTGGGACTAAGGTACATGCCACCACACCCAGCTATTTTTTAATATATATTTTTATAGAGATGAGGTCTCGCTATGTTGCCTAGGCTGGTCTCCAACTCCTGGGCTGAAGCCATCCTCCTGCCTCAGCCTCTTAAAGTACTGGGATTACAGGTGTAAGCTACTGCACCTGTCTTTTTTTTTTTAATTTACCTTTCAATATGAAATTGTTTGAGAAGCTAAGTGTACAGTGGTACATCTCTCTTTCTCTCTCTTTTTTTTTTTGAGTTGGAGTCTCACTCTGTCACCCAGACTGTAGTGCAGTGGCCGCTCCCGGCCACCGTAGCCTCGACCTGCTCGGCTCCGGCGATCCTTCCGCCTCAGCCTTCCGAGTAGCCGGAATTACAGGCGCGCGCTACCACACCCGGCTGATTTTTTGATTTATTGTAGAGATGAGGTCTCGCTGCCCAGGTGGGTCTCGAACCTGCGGGCTCAGGCAATCCGCTCACCTCAGCCTCCCAAAGGCGCGGGATTACAGGCTGAGCCACCGAGCCTGGCTTTTTTTTTAAGTTGGTGTCTCACTCTGTTGCCCAGGCTGGAGTGCAGTGGCACGCTCATGGCCACCACAGTCTTGACCTGCTTGGCTCAGAGAATTCTTCGACCCCAGCCTTTCAAGAACCTGGAACAGGTGCATGCCACCACACCCTGCTAATTTTTTTATTTATTGTAGAGACAGGGTCTTGCCAAATCGCCCAGGCTGGTCTTGAACCTGTAGGCTCAGGCAGTCCTATCACCTCTGCCTCACAAAGTGCTGGGATTACAGGTGGGAGCCACTGCACTGGCCCAAAGCAAGCTTTTTTACCAATTTATACCTCTTGCAAAAGTGCCCTGGGACCTAGAGTAGACGGATTCATCGAAAGAGAAAGTAGAATGGGGCATGCCATGGGAAAAACAGTGACCTGCTGTTAGATAAGCAGGAAGTTTCCCATTGCAAGATAAAATGAATTCTGCAGATGGATGGTGGTGATGACTGCACAACAGTGTTACTGTACTTAATACCACTGAACTGTGCACTTTATAATGGTTAAGATGGTAAATTTTATGTTATGTGTATTTTACCACAATATTTAAAAAAATAGGGAAAAGTGCACTGGCACTATTCATCTTTCCTTACTGGACACTTGCCTGAAAGACATTCCTTGTGCCACAAGTTTGTTATCCTAGCCTTCTACTGTCTTTCTCTTCCTTTATGGAATTCACCTGTAACCTTATAATGATGACACATTGTCTTTTTTTTTTGAGTTGGAGTCTCACTCTGTCGCCCAGACTGGAGTGCAGTGGCCAGTGGCCACTGCAGCCTCGACCTGCTGGGCTCCAGTGATCCTTCTGGCTCAACCTTCCAAGTAGCTGGAACTACATGCGCGCGCTACCATGCCCAGCTAATTTTTTTGATTTATTGTAGAGATGAGGTCTCGCCAAGTTGCTCAGGCGGGTCTCGAACCCACGGGCTCAGGCAATCAATCCACTCACCTCAGCCTCCCAAAGCGCGGGATTACAGGCTGAGCCACTGAGACATTGTCTTATACAGGAGGAAGGAGAGACAACCATCTTGCAGTTAGAAAAGGACTTGCGCACTCAGGTGGAATTGATGCGAAAACAGAAAAAGGAGAGAAAACAGGACCTGAAGCTACTTCAGGAACAAGATCAGGAACTGTGTGAGATCCTTTGTATGCCGCAGTATGACATTGACAGCACCTCAGTCCCCAGCTTGGAAGAACTGAACCAGTTTAGACGACATGTGACAACTCTGAGGGAAACAAAGGTACACTGCCTGCATTCATACTTTCTGAATGTCAGCTGGTCTTTCCTACAGGTGTTTTACAGTTGTCTTGCTTTGTAGGCATCTAGGCATGAGGAGTTCGTCAACATAAAGAGGAAGATCATACTGTGTATGGAAGACTTAGATCACACCCCAGACACAAGCTTTGAAAGAGATGTGGTGTGTGAAGATGAAGAAGCCTTTTGTTTATCTTTGGAGAATATTGCAACACTACAAAAGTTACTACGGCAGGTAATGTCTTCTCACATTATGACCTGGGATCCCCATAGTACATAGCAGGTTGAAAAAATTTTGGATGAAATAGTATTAGTTATTTGAATTAGCTTAGCGTTTAATTTAATTTTTCTTTTTATTTGAAAGCAGGGTTTATTGAGAGGATAGAAAAGCTCCTACAATGGGAGGGGACCCAAAGGGGTTGCCCAAGAAATAATTTTCAACTGGAAATTAGAATCCAAGCTGGGCATGGTGGCTTACACCTGTAATACCAGCACTTTGGGAGGCGGAGTAGAGAGGATTGCCTGAGCTCAAGGGTTCGAGACCAGCCTGGGCAACTTGGCAAGAACTGGTCTCTACAAAAAATTAGCTGGGTGTGGTGGCACACACCTGCAGTTCAAGCTACTTGGAAGTCTGAGGAAGAAGGATCACCTGAGCCCAGCAGGTCGAGGCTGCAGTGGCCATGAATGTGCTACTGCACTCTAGCCTGGGTGACAGAGTGAGACTCCAACTCAAAAAAAAGAAAGAAAGAAAGAAATCTCATAAAAGTGCTTTCTCTCCCTGTGGGTCCAGGCATTTGGGGGAGGGAGTGGGGCTAGCCTACCCTATGCTGCTGCTTTGCTGTGAGTAACCACTGGCTTTCCTTGTTCAGCTGGAAATGCAAAAATCACAGAATGAAGCTGTGTGTGAGGGGCTGCGAGCTCAAATTCGAGAGCTCTGGGACCGGCTGCAGATACCTGAAGAAGAGAGAGAAGCCGTGGCCACCATTATGACTGGGTCGAAGGCCAAGGTTAAGAAAGCGGTAAGAAACCCAGTGGATGTTGGTCAGCAGTCTTCTGTGAGCATTTCTGTGTGCAGATGTTCTTACCAGCTGCTGTCTTGGGCCAGTCTGTGTTTAAGATGAGCATCAGAAAAGGATGGTAGTAGCCTGTCCATCTTCTGTTTCTTGTGTACATTCCTTTGATTTCTGGCTCCAATAAATGTCTTTGTCATAAGGAGTGTTGATTTACCTCTGTGGCTTTGTGTTGTAATTTTGTTTATTTATTTGAGTGGGGGTCTCACTCTGTCATCTAGGCTGAAGTGCAGTGGCATGCCCATGGCCACCGCAGCCTCAACCTGCTGGTCTCAGGTGATCCTTCCATCTCAGCCTTCCAAGTAGCTGGAACTATAGGCATATACCTAGCTCATTTTTTAATTTATTGTAGAGATGAGGTCTTGCCAAGTTGCCTAGGCTGGTTTTTTTTTTTTTTTTTTTTTTGAGACAAGGTCTCACCATGTTGCTCAGGTTTGTCTTGAACCTCTGAGCTTAGGAAGTTCTGTTGCCTCTGCTTCCCAAAGTGCTGAGATTACAGGTGTGAGCTACTGCGCCCAGCTATTTTTTTTTTTAAGGCTGGTATCAAACCTGTGGACTCAGGTAATCTTCTCTTCTCTGTCTTCCAAGGTGCTGGGAATACAGGCATGAGCTACCGTGCCTGACTGTAATTTTATTAGAAAGGGGGAAACTTACGCAAACCTAAATGAATATAAATGTACGACAGCCATCTTTAATAGGTCTATTTCTTTCAGCTGCAATTAGAAGTGGATCGGTTAGAAGAACTGAAAATGCAAAACATGAAGAAAGTGATTGAAGCAATCCGAGTGGAGCTGGTTCAGTACTGGGACCAGTGTTTCTACAGCCAGGAGCAGAGGCAGGCTTTTGCCCCTTACTATGATGGTTAGTACAAAAGTGCAGTCTTAGCTGGGTCTATAATCCCAGCACTTTGGGAGTTGGAGGCAAGAGGACTGCCTGAGCCCAGGGATTCGAGATCAGCCTGGGCAACTTAGCAAGACCTCTTCTCTTCAATAAAACAAAAAAATTAGCCAGGATGGTGACGCCTGCCTATAGTTCCAGCTACTTGGAAGGCTGAGGTAGAAGGATCGCGTGAGCCCAGCAAGGCTGTGGTGACTGTGAGCGTGCCACTGCACTTCAGCCTGGGTGACAGTGAGACTCCAACTCAAAAAACAAAAACACCAAAAGTACAGTCTCTCTGTGGCCTGCTTGGTAGTATGTCAGAATCCCAGACATTCTCTGGGAAGTATTTCCACTTCTCAGCTGATATACAGTCACCTTTCCAAGCCGTTCAGCATGGTTGCCATTCCTATATAAAAAAGCATTGGCCCATGCTAGTGAGTCTCTTTCATACTTTCTGAAGTTTTGTCACTGTAGCCTCTAGCTGTGAAGCTCAAGTTTATTAGGTGCTTATTCTATGCCAGGTGCAATGTCGAACCCTTAACAGTATGATTTTACTTAATCCTCATGTCAGGAGATGAGGACCTTGCAGCAGGTAAATGCTGAGCAAATTTCCCAGGGGCATACAGCAGGTAACTACCAGAGCCCACAGGTGAGCACAGAGGAGCTGACTCCTAGAGCCCAGGGGATGGAACGGAATAGAAGATGAAGCTGTCCTAACTAAAGTCAGCAAATGCTTATGGACGTTTTCTGAGAGCCAGCCCTCCACTGGCCGGGCAAAGCAGAAAGGAAGAATTTGAGAGAAACCTAAGACAAAGCAAGAGATGACACCGGCTTTTGAGGCATTAATCATTTTAGTCCATACCCTAGTCCCCCAGGCTGACTATGACAAGCCTGGCTTTTAAAAGCCACAATATATGGACTTATTCCTGTATCTTTTTATTATAAGGAAGAAAACTCAATTTCCATTTGAGGAGAGTCAGGGATTAGTGAATTGGGATTCCAAACACCAGAGGAATTCTTTAAAATGACTGGGCCTGTATCTTGCAGATGACTATACAGAAAACCTGCTCCAGCTTCACGATGCCGAGATTGTACGGTTAAGAAACTACTATGACGTTCACAAGGAACTCTTTGAAGGCGTCCAGAAGTGGGAAGAAAGCTGGCGGCTTTTCTTAGAATTTGAGGTACTGCCCTTGTTTGGTCTGTTTCTGTTTTCTTTAGAGTACAGTGAAATATTGTGAAGGCTTTCCCAGCATAGAACCAGGGTTGTTTCCTTTGTTGTCTACCAGACTTTTCATACTCTGTGTTTATTCTTAAGTCTCTGAATGACTGCTAACCCTCTATTTAAGCTTATTTACAGCGCATATAAGAGAAAACACCAAAATTAATGGCTTAAGTACAATAGCTGTTTCTTGTATGAAGGAAGTCCAGAGGTGGGTGGGGCAAGGCAGGCAGGGCAGTGCGACACAGTGAGCAGGGCGCTGGGCTTCTCCAGCCCAGGGGTCCTCTGTTGCTAAGGGTGGGCCCCATCCTCAGGGCCAAGGTGGCAGCTGGCGCCCCCACCCTAGTGGACACATTTCAGACAGCATGGTAGAAGAAGGAACAAAGAGCCCTCCACCTCTCAGGGCTCTTCTGAGGCTCTCTCCACAGCTGCCAGCCACCGTGACTGGGTAAATAGCTGCCCTTGAGAAATTTTGGCTCTGTTACTAAGGAAGGGGAGAAGAATCAATGTTTGGGCAGGCAACTTAAGTTTTCTACCATTCCAGCTTTTCCATTAGAAAACTGCCTGGACCTTGGGGCACATTTTTTTGTTCAGAATTCCTTTTCTTCTGAGAGTCTTAGCACAGATGGCTTCCTGAGAGCACTCTAGAACTCAAGGCTGGGACCAGGGATGAGGCCAACAAGGCACCCAGGGCACAGATTTAAGGAAACCCTTGTTCTCAGGTGCATGTTGGCCCTCTTGGAGCTCCATAGGTCTGTGGAGAATCTAATTCTGCGCATTCAAGCTTACAGGCAGGAAGCTAGGACTCACAGGTGGGGAAAACTGTGGGCTGTCTTATAGCTGATGAAGAGTAGGTGTCCTGGTGCTCAGTTACTCCTTCGACTGCAAGCAAGAAGAAAGAGGAGTAAACAGAAATAAAGAGCTAAAACAGTAGCCCTTGTTGAAATGCCAATATTTAGGCCAGGCTCGGTGGCTCAGCCTGTAATCCCATGCTTTGGGAGGCCGAGGTGAGTGAATTGCCTGAGCCTGTGGGTTCGAGACCCACCTGGGAAACTTGGCAAGAACTCATCTCTACAATAAATCAAAAAATTGGCCGGGTATGGTAGCGCGCGCCTGTAGTTCCAGCTACTTAGAAGGCTGAGGTGGAAGGATCGCCAGAGCCCAGCAAGCAGGTCAAGACTGTGGTGGCCAGGAGCATGCCACTGCACTCCAGTCTGGGCAACTGAGTGAGACTCCAACTCAAAAAAAAAAAAAAAAAAAGAAAGAAAGAAATGCCAATATTTAAGAGGAAATAAGAAGTGAATGTCGGCGGCTGCCCAACCGACTCGGGCCCCCATCTCTACCCTGCCATGCCCTCAGGCTCCGCGAACTACACTTCCCAGCGTGCCGTGATCTCGATGGCGGAGGCCGGGTCCCGCCCGCCGCTGGCCCCCACCGCTCCCCAGGCCTCGCGTGGAGCCCCCACCACTGGGCTGCAGCAAGCCACACCTGGAGAAGCTGATCCTGGGCATCACCCGCAACCTGGAATCTTCCCTAGGTGTGACAGAAGTGACCGTCATAGAAAAGGCACCTGCTGATTGTCATGATTTCTTCATGGGAACAAAAGAATAACTATGTGATGCCTGAGGATGTGAAGAACTTCTACTTGAAGACCAATGGCTTCCACACGACATGGAGTGTGAAGCTGGATGAGCACATCATTCCAGTGGGCATCATGGCAATCAGCAGCATCTCAAAGCTGACTCAGCTCAACCAGTCTTCCATGTATTTACTTCCTAATGCACCGACTCTGGCAGACCTGGAGGATGATGCACAGGAAGCTAGTGAGGACCAGCCAGAGAAGCCTGTTTGACTCTCGCAGTGTGATATTTGAGCTGGAGTCATGCAATGGGAATGGAAAAGTTTGCCTGGTCTACAAAAGTGGAAAACCAGCTCAAGACACTGAGATCTGGTTCCTGAACCATGCATTCATTATACTGGCATTTTCTTACAGATACCTTTACCACCTATTATTGCCTGCTCATCACCCACCTGGACTTGCCCCAGTGGCAGTAAGCCTTCACCAGCTATGTATGGCATCAACCCACAAGCCAAGCAATGGTTCAACATGTATAAACCCATCACCTACAACACAAACCTGCTCACAGAAGAAAGCGACTCCTTTGTGAATAAACTGAATCCCAGCAAAGTGTTTAAGAGCAAGAATAAGCCCTTAATCCCAAAAAAGAAAGGGCCCGTGTAGCCTGCAGGTGGCCAGAAAGGGCCCTCAGGTTCCAACACTTCTAAGTCCTCCTCTTCCTCTGGAAACCCCATCCAGAAATGAGCACCTGACCTCCAACTCCTCTATGGTGATGTCCATTCCCAGATAGCCCAGGAAAGCCCCAACCTTGGATTCCCTGTTTGGAACTGTAGGCCTCTTCCCATGTGAATGACCAAAATCCTAGACTTTTTACTCCCACTGACATTAGCCGGAGTTGGAAGCACATACTGAGGTCACTTCAAGAGTTCTTCCCTCATACCCCTCACAGCGAGTCATGCTATCCCTTGCTTCCAGAAGCAGTGAGGAATTTCAGATTTTAAGTGGGCAAATCTGTTGAGAGCTTTCCTCTTTCCACATCTAACCTTGAGTCCTTTAGTAATGATTAGAGATGTCTCTGAAAGAAACCACTGGTTTTGACCCCTGAGGATTAGAACTGCATTGTTCACTCAGGAGCCACTAGTCACATGGCTATTTAAATTATATTAAAAATGTATTTATCACATTGCATTAGCCACCTTTTGAGTATTTGTGTGGCTGGTAGATTCCATATTAGCACAAAGATACGGACCATTTCCATCAAGTTCTGTTGGACAGCAATGGAATATTTTCTTTTTCTTTTTTTTTTTTTTTGAGTTGGAGTCTTACTCTGTTGCCCAGACTGGAGTATAGTGGCCACTCCCGGCCACCACAACCTCAACCTGCTGGGCTCCAGCGATCCTTCCGCCTCGGCCTTCCAAGTAACTGGAATTATAGGTGTGTGCTACCACGCCCGGCTGATTTTCTTTTATTTATTGTGGAGATGAGGTCTCACCAAGTTGCCCAGGTGGGTCTCGAACCTGCGGGCTCAGGCAATCCACTCACCTCAGCCTCCCAAAGGCACGGGATTACAGGCTGAGCCACTGAGCCCAGCTTAATGGAATATTTTCATGCTACTTCTCCTCAGATGAGTTCATTTTTGTTTTATTTAGTTAGTTAGTTAGTTTTTTGAGTTGGAGTCTCACTCTGTCACCCAGACTGGAGTGCAGTGGCCGCTCCCGGCATCCGCAGCCTCGACCTGCTGGGCTCCGGCGATCCTTCTGCCTCAGCCTTCCAAGTAGCTGGAACTACAGCCGTGTACTACCATGCCCAGCTAATTTTTTATTTATTGTGGAGATGAGGTCTCGCCAAGTTACCCAGGCGGGTCTCGAACCCACAGGCTCAGGCAATCCACTCACCTCAGCCTCCCAAAGCGCGGAATTACAGGCTGAGCCACCGAGCCTGGCGAGTTCATTTTTGTTGTTAGATAATATTTGATAGGTCATAATGTTCATGAGAACTCTTGAAGATACACTGTGTGTTCTTTATATCCTTTACCATAAGTATACCTCGCTCTGCTCATTTGTTTTTCAGTTTCCTATAAAATTTGTCTTCCTCAAAAAAAGAAGTGAATGTCCACCCTCTCTAGTTACTATTGGGTTTCTTTATAGTTTGGCCTCCACACTATTGAGCATGGTTTCTAAACTGTTCTCATTATCTGCTCCTATTTTTTTTCTTTCTTTTTTTGAGATAAGGTCTTGCTGGAGTGCTGTGGCACAACTGCCTGGCTAAGTTTTTCTCGATACTTTTTGTAGAGACAGGTTCTTGCTGTTTTGCCTAAGATGGTCTCAAACTCCTGGCCTCAAGCAATCCTCCCTCCTTGGCCTCTCAAAGTGCTGGGATAATAGGCATGAGCCACTGTACCTGGCCCTTGCTCCTACTTTTGAGCATATACATCTAATGTATAATAACAAATTATATGCTTGCATTACTGTTTTGATATACTGTATATATTATAAAATAAACAGGTGAGCCCTATCATACCTGGCTAATTTTTTTTTTTGAGTTGGAGTCTCACTCTGTCGCCTAGGCTGGAGTGCAGTGGCATACTCATGGCCACGGCAGCCTTGACCTGCTGGGCTTAGACAATCCTTCTGCCTCAGCCTTCTAAGTAGCCAGAACTACAGGTACGTGCCACCACACCTGGCTTGACAGCCTGCTCTGAGTGCTGTGGCATTTATAACTACAACTGTTGATCACAACCAGTTACAGATTTGTTTCTTGTCCTGCTTCACTTGACTAGAAAAAAAAAAAAGCAAAAAACAGAAAATCTAAAAAGAACAGGTTACTTTAACATTTTACTTTTTTTTTTTTTTTTTTGAGTAGGAGTCTCATTCTGTTGCCTAGGCTGGAGTGCAGTGGCATGCTTACAGCCACCGCAACCTTGACCTGCTGGACTCTGATGACCCTTCCACCTTAACCTTCCAAGTAGCTGGAAGCCAATTGTTTTATTTATTGTAGACACGAGGTCTTGCCAAGTTGCCCAGGCTGGTCTCAAACCCTTGGGCTCAGATAATCCTCTCACCTCTGCCTCCCAAAGTGCTGGGATTATAGGCATGAGCCACCGCACCTGGCTGCATTTTTTTTATTTTTATTTTTATTTTTTTGAGTTGGAGTCTCACTCTATCACCCCGACTGGTGTGCAGTGGCACACTGCCGGCCACCGCAGTCTCGACCTGCTGGGCTCCATCGATCCTTTTGCCTCAGCCTTCCAAGTATCTGGAACTATAGGTGTGTGCTACCACGTCCAGCTAATTTTCGATTTATTGTAGGGATGAGGTCTCGCCAAGTTGCCTGGGCACGTCTCGAACTCGCAGGCTCAGGCAATCCACTCACCTTGGCCTCCCAAAGCACTGGGAATACAGGCTGAGCCACTGAACCTGGACTATTTTATTTTATTTATTTATTTATTTTTGAGGTGGAGTCTCACTCCGTCTCCCAGACTGGAGTGTAGTGGCACACTTAGAGCCACCTGCTGGGCTCCGGTGATCCTTCCAAGTAGCTGGAACTATAGGTGAGCACTACCACACTTGGCTAATTTTTTTATTTATAGTAGAGACGAGGTCTCACCATGTTGCCCACATTGGTCTCGAACTCACGGGCTCAGGTAATCCATTCGCCTTGGCCTTCCAAAGTGCTGGGATTACGGGCTGAGCCACTGAGCCTGGCCCATTTTACAATTTTAACTTGTCCATTTGTAAGGGCTAACTTAGTAAAAACCAGTCTATCTCTAAATCTCTTAACTGTGTGCATTTAAGCTGCGGCTTTCATATGCCAGCAGTGAGTGGGCAAGTAGGCTGACACCATGAAGCCCTCTGAACATAGTCCTCCCCTTGGTCCTCCACAGACCTTGTATCCTATAGTGACATGTAATTCTTACCCAAACTAAGGAATGGAGCCAAGACACTGTTAAACATTAAAGCCTGTCTTTTTTTTTTTTTTTTTTAATGAATTAAGAAAGGTAGATTGATTAAAGGAAAGATACATTGTGAAGGGCACAACAGGCCAGACAACAGCCAGAATGTCTGTTGTCTGCTGCTGCCTGTCTTATTTTTTAGATTAAAAAGGAAACGGTAGTCTTCCTACACCCCAAGAGTGATCATGCCCATGCCTGGGAATGTCCACGGTCCACTCCTTGGCCTCAGAATGTCACCATTCCTCACTGCCCAGAGTGGATGGGAACAGAACACTCTTAAAGTCAGTTTAATGAGTCACATCATTCTTTGAGAGCAAGGATTCCTGGCAGAAGTTACTGGTCCGACTATGCCAGGTTTTACTCTAATGGAGATGTATTTTTCACAGAGAAAAGCTTCAGATCCAAGCCGATTTACAAACCGGGGGGGAAATCTGCTAAAAGAAGAAAAGCAACGAGCCAAACTCCAGAAAATGCTCCCTAAGGTAACAGTGTTGCTAAGGGTTTTTGGCACTTGGCTACAAGATATCTCACTTTTTTTTTTTTTTTTTTTTTTGAGTTGGAGTCTCACTCGGTCGCCCAGACTGGAGTGCAGTGGCCGCTCCCGGCCACCACAGACTCGACCTGCTGGGCTCCGGCGATCCTTCTGCCTCAGTCTTCTGAGTAGCCGGAATTACAGGCATGCGCTACCACGCCCGGCTGATTTTTTTGATTTATTGTAGAGATGAGGTCTCGCTGCCCAGGCAGGTCTCGAACCCGCGGGCTCAGGCAATCCACTCACCTCAGCCTCCCAAAGGCGCGGGATTACTTTGCCCCCAAACTCCATTTTCTTCCAAAGCTTAGGCAGGGGTGAGTCTATATAGGGCCTTTAGTATAAGCAAATAACAAGTTATACTAATTTACTAGGGCTGCCATAATAAAGTACCACAGATTGGTGGCTTCAACAACAGAAAGCATTTTTCTCACAATTCTGGAAGATGGAAATCCGAGATTGAGGTGGTAGTGGCAGAGTTGGTTTCTTCTACACCTCTCTCTTGGCTTGTAGATGGCCTTTCTCTCCTCCATATGCCTTCACGTGGTCTTCCCTTGGTGTATGTGGCCTGGTCCCACCAGCCCATATGGAATTAGAGCCCACCTAATAACTTCATTTTAGCTTAATTTCCTCTTTCAAGACCCTGTCTCCAAATACAGTCACATTCTGAGGGACTGGGGGTATTAGGCCTTTAGCGTATGAATCTTTGGGGGAACACAGTTCAGCCAGAGTATCATGAGGCACACCTTTGAGAAAGTATTTTGGACTTCATTGCATTTTCTATTTGATAATAATAGTTGGCATTTTTTGAGTTGTGTCAGGTACTATTTCAGAGTACTTTTATCTTTGCTCACTGTTTCACAGCCAACAAAAGGGAGATTGCAGATTGAACCCCAGCTAGTCTGATTCCAGAGTCCTGCTCTTAATGAACACTGTCTATTTCAAACGTTACCGATCTTCCCTGGGGCTGCCTCCAGCGTCGGGCACCAAATCCTTAGTAGTCACACTCTGGATTCTGGCTGTTTGCACCATTGCACAATATATTGTATTGTGACTAACCCTCCCTAAGCTTTGCCTTCTGGTTGCTCTGACTTGTACCCACACGGGTCCAGCTACCTGAAGTCAGGCTCATGACACTCAGGGAAGGGGGAGTCATTCTTTTGGAGGATCATTTCTTTCTTTAGGAAAATCTTCACATCAAAGAGTTGATGTAATTAACTTGTCTTTGTTTCTGGTCTCAGCTGGAAGAGGAGTTGAAGGCACGGATTGAAATGTGGGAACAGGAACATTCAATGGCCTTTGAGGTGAATGGACAGAAATTCATGGAGTATGTGATGGAACAGTGGGAGATGCATCGACTGGAGAAAGAGAGAGCTAAGCAGGAGAGAGTAAGTGTGGATGCACTTTGGGAAAAGAGGAAGATAACAGTTGGAGGAACCCAGAGTCTCTGCCAGGGAGTGTGGTTGGTTGAAGAACGGGAGCCTGGGGCAGCTCCTTTGAGCTCTGGCTGCAGAGGCTTGGCCCTAGGTTTCTGGCCCTGCTTCTGTTCCCATCCAGACCTGCTCCTTTCCTGGGATTTATCACTTTGCTTCTGACTTTCACACAGCAACTCAAGAACAAGAAGCAGACAGAGACAGAGATGCTGTACGGCAGTGCTCCCCGAACACCCAGCAAGCGGCGAGTTCTGGCTTCCAACACGCCTGGCAAAGTACGCAAGGTATGCACAAAGCATGCTTTGTGAGGGAGTGGTGGGGCTAGGGCTCTTGACTGTCTCTTGCCCTTTGTCCTTCAGAGATGGGAAAGGGTTTTTCTGTCCTTCCAGACTGAGTCCATTTGAGAGTGAATGGAAGACAGCAGTGTAATCTTGAGCAGGTGCTTATGGTGACAGGCAGGGAGCAGCCAGCTTTGATGTGCGCCACTTGTTTAGTCCATGCATTAAACTCAGGGGGGCCACGGGCAGGCACAGTGGCTCATGCTTGTAATCCCAACACTTTAGGAAGCTGAGACAGGAGCATCACTTTAGCCCAGGAGTTCAAGACCAGCCTGGGCAACATAATGAGACTCCATCTTTATAAAAAAATTTTTTAAAAAATTAGCCAGGCATAGTGGCATGCACCTGTAGTCCTGGCTACTCAGGAGGCGAGGCAGGAAGATCGCTTGAATCCAGGAGTTCTGAGATTGCAGTGAGCTATGATTTGTGCCATTGTACTCCAGCCTGTGTGACAGAACGAGACTCTGTCTTTTAAAAAAACAAACATATAAAAAAAAACCTCAGGGGTGCCAATAATTACCCGCATTCTGGTGATGATGAAAAGCTTCAGAGGTTCTCATCCTATAATCCCATCAGGTGACCGTGTGGTGCTATGTGAAAGACAACATTCATGCTTAATAAACTGAATATTTAATACTTCTTAATCGCTAGAGCAGGAAGTCAGGGAGTACTTTTCCTTTATCTTTCTTTCTCTCTACTCCTGTGACATCATATTTTATAATATATAAAATTTTTTTTTTTTGAGTTGGAGTCTCACTCAGTTGCCCAGACTGGAGTGCAGTGGCCGCTCCCGGCCACCGCAGCCTCGCCTGCTGGGCTCCAGCGATCCTTCCGCCTCAGCCTTCCAAGTAGCTGGAACTACAGGCGCGCGCCACCATGCCCGGCTCATTTTGTTTTATTGTAGAGATGAGGTCTCGCCAAGTTGCCCAGGCGGGTCTCGAACCCGCGGGCTCAGGCATCCTCCTGCTTTTTAAAAAGTCTTTTAAGATAATGTATTTTAAGCTGGGCTCGGTGGCTCAGCCTGTAATCCCGCGCCTTTGGGAGGCTGAGGTG